CTCCCATTTCCATATTTAGTCTTCGTGTTTCACTTTATCCATTTTTGGTACTTGACTATTGTTTTCTTGACCATTTTCAGGATGTTTTCTTTTGGACTGTTTTCAGTCCCAGACCAGACCAGACCAGACTTAAACAGACCAGACCAGACCAGACTTAAACAGATCAGACCAGACCAGAATTTCTTAGTTATAAAATACACAGAGACAAGACGTTTACCAGACCAGACCAGAGCAGACCAGACCAAACTTAAACAGACCAGACCAGACCAGCAAATTTCAGTCCAAAAGAAAACATCCTCAGTCCATCTATGGGCATTTTTACTACCGGAAAAGAACTATAATGGTCAAGAAAACAATAGTCAGGTACCAAAAATGGATAAAGTGAAAGACGGTGACTAATTGTGAAATTGGTGCAAAACTCGAAGGACCAAAAGTGGAATTTCTTCCATACTATAATAAGTGAATCTTAAGTGATGGAAGTGATTCACTTAGGATGTTTTCAAACGAAATGTAATTTTCTCGTCCATTTGATCTATTGATTGGACCAAACCCATTTAAATCTTGTTTGGTACAATTCGAATGATAAATGTCTATTCCATGTGTATTTTACAACTTCAAAATCTAGTCTAATCTCTGATATTATTTGATCGATTTGGTTTGGTTTAGTTTGATCTAAAACGAATGAAATTAAAAACATTCTTAGACCACCCTTTCTTTTCAAAAACCGATTCCTCACATTCCTGGAAGACGCCTCAAGTATCCATTGTTTGGTCATTTCCTCATTTTACTCTCCTCACAGTCCTCAGTCTCACCTATTGAGCCGGACAAGAACAAAAATAATTGAAGTATGATTGATTATCCATGGCATTGGTGTTCAATGTTGACTCAACTAGAATGGCAAGTTCTGCGTGACCCTCCCACAATAATATTATGTTTCCTAGCTATTTGTGTCCAAGCATTTTTTAGTTAATAAATTTATATGATACTTGATCTCATACTCTGATTTGACTTGACATGCATGCTAATAAAGTGAAATAAAGCGCAAACATATGATTGTGAATGATCAAGAAAAAGATGAATAAAGGTTAGAAACGCCAAATTTAAAATGGAAAAAGTTTAAAATCTCTCAAAATTATAATTGAAATTAATTTTTTGTGAGGGGATAGTATATTTCATTGAAAGCTGAATTTTTATCCCTTAGACTTCAGTTACTTTGAAACTCATAACTACAAAACAAAACAAAACAAAGGAAAATCGCACTTTTGGTCCCTGAAATAGTCACAAAAATGAAATGTCGGACCCGTATTCCCAAGTTTGTAAATGTCGTCCCTCAATTGCCATAAATGCTGTAAATGTGTTCCTTTTTTGGGTGAAATATACAATGTGGGCGAGAACACATTTCACCCCTTAAAGGACCACATTTACAACAATTTGGATAATTGAGAGGTGATATTTACAATATCATAAATACGGGTCTGACATTTCATTTTCGTGACTATTTCAGGGAGTAAAAGTGCGATTTTCCCACGAAACAATTAACATTTCATGTTTCAAAATGGATGTTGAGCCCGTTTGATAACAATGAAATTGGTTTAATCGACTGATTATACTGAAATCTATTAAATTCTGGCTAAAGTGGCTGATTATACTAAATTATGAGAACATTATATTAAAAATATATTCTATTTATAAAATACATAAAAACCTATGTGAAAATAGCTAAAATCGTCAACTCTACAGTAATTTCGGTCAATTCAACCAGAAAATTAACTTTAACCTTACGTATTTTTTTTAAACTAAAAATTGCAAAAACAATATTATTAGCAGTGAAATATGTCCCCACTGCCTCACCCCAATCCCTGAACACCGTATTTTTATTATTACACAATTTAGCGTGTAAAATCAAAAGTAGATGTATGGCGAAAAATAGATAACAGAACTGATAAACCAAAAATTAAACAAAGATTAGATTACTGAAAACAAAGATTATTAAAAAGGCACGTATTTTATTTGTTGCTGTTTTAATACTTCATATAATTACCTTTATGGCTTTATGAAATGCAGGTGATTTGTCTCATAACTAAAAGAGGAAAGGGGTCGATAAAGCCACCCGTTATTTTCAATATAGACCCATTTTTTAAAAGGTGAGAACTCCCGTACCCATTTAAAAAATGGGGTACCGTACCTAGCATTCACTTGATTGGTCCAAATAAGTATATCATTTTTAATTTAAAGTTAAATAATTCAACCGCAACTTTCTGATTGATTCATGTGAACAAATGTATGGTACATTATGGGTACCATAGAATCCACTTTTTTAAAAACACATATTGGTCATGTTTGTTTAATGACGGCAAAAGCGCTACATGCCTACATTATGCAGTGTTTATAATTATAAAACTTCGGCGTTTTGGAGTGAAACGTCAACATTCACATTTTCTTACTTTCCTATTTCAATCATAATATTCATATTTTCACATTCCTAAGGGTTGGTTTGCAATTGCTTAAAAAAGCACTTATTTATCAAACATTACCAATTTTTACTTTTCTCGACTTTTTGTGTGAAATGTGTTTTTCCTTTTTCTACTACACAAAAAGCACTTATTTTACCAAACACTACCAACTTTTACTTTTCAAAATCACTTTTTTCTCAAACACTATCAACTTTTACTACTAATCACTGTTTCCAAATCACTCCAAAAGTGTTTTTTTAAGCAGAAGCAGTTGCAAACACTCCCTAAATCTTTCAATCATACGCTCAATGATTTTGAAAATACGGAATAACAAACTATTACAACTACTTCTTTTGGATTTATCTTTCATTACAACACACTATTTCATTATCTTCTCATCATACCATCGATAATATATATCCGCTTTCACTATTCCTAATATCATATACTTTTAAATGGGAAGATACAAACTTCTCATCGTAGTAAGAAGTTTAACCTCAAGCTAACAAAGTTGTAAAGTTTACGGAACTGTACTAATCTAATTAGAGATCTAGGGCCCATTTGGTGACCCTGTTTTTGGCTTATAAGTCAATCTTTTTTACCAATTACGTAAATTTTGATTTCTTGCGTTGGATTTTGTAATAATAAGAACAACTTGAGTTCAATCAATAATACTATCCCCACTCTTACATAGATGCAACATGTCACATTTTAAATCATCCACATGACGTTCTCTAACTACATTTTTTGTTTATGTATCATAAATTTAAAATTTGAAAAATATTGTTGAATTCTTTTCATTTTTTTTAAATTTTACTAGTAATAAGAAATGAAATATATCAATGATCAAAATAGGAATTGATAAACGTGAAAATTGTAACATTACATTACAACAACAACAACATCCAAGCCTTAGTCCCAAACGATATTGGGGTCGGCTAACATGAATCGAGATATGATATCACCAAAAGGAAAAGAAAGAAAATAAAGATAAAAAAGATAAGATAAAAGAGATGAATATACATATAAAGATCAAAAGATAACATAAAAGAGATGAATATATTGGGGTCGGCTACGATATTGGGGTCCCCTAACCCACGTCTGTTTGGGCCTTTCTCTCCCTCTCTTCCCTACCTCTTCTCCACACATCACAACTCGTCTGACACGTGCATCACTCGGTCTTCTATGCACATGACCAAACCACCCTAGGCGCGACTCCCGCATCTTATCTTCAATAGGTGCTACTCCCACCCTTTGTCTGATTGTCTCATTCCTCACGCGGTCCTTTCTAGTATGCCCACACATCCAACGCAGCATGCACATCTCTACCACACTCATCTTTTGAACGTGACATTGTTTCACCGCCCAACACTCCGTGCCATACAGTAATGCAGGCCTAATTGTTGTCCTATAAAATTTACCCTTCATAATTCCGTTATTACCACTGCTTTTATCTCCACCAAACTTGCACTTCATGTACTCTGTCTTGCTCCTACTTAGTCTGAAACCCTTGTTCTCCAATGTTTGTCGTCATACTTCCAACTTTGCTTTAACCCCTGATTGCGTAAACAGGGGCATGAATCGATCCCTTGACCTGGAGACTGAAGTATAGCATGTGGCCTTTCATCCATCTCGCTGTCATTACATTACATTATTACAACTAAAAAACATAAAGAAATATATTGTTGTTTAAAATTTCTAGAGTGCTAGCTACAAAAAAAATTCGTTAAGTTATGAAAAGTGTACGACTTATAATTTATTGAAAAACAATGGTGAAAGGTATTGGTGACTGAATTTGTTGAAATTGGAAGTTCAAGTATTTGAATTAGAAAATTATTAAAATACTACGTATATTTATTAATAAAATTTAAAAAAAAATGTACAATTCTACTATACTGATTTTCTATTGTAAATTTAGACAAATCTATCAAAAATGTATCCTCAACTTTATTTACTTTGATTATAACATAATTTAGCACGCGAGATCAAAAGTTACATGATAAATCCAAATAAAGCTCAATCGAACCTGATAGTTTGATATAGAGAGGCTGTTTGGTAACTCTATGTTTCAGCTTATCAAGCTTATCAGCCAATTTTTTCACCAAACACGTAACTTTTATTTTCGCGCGCTGAATTTATATTAAGAAAAAGTAAGATTGGAGTTACTTTTATGGATGTATTGGCTGAAGTTACGGTAGATGACCATTTTAGCTATTTTTACATATAGTTTTTTCTTTATTTTATTAAAAAAATAAATTTTAATTTTTTTTCTTAAATCAACAGAATCAACCAATAGAGTCACTTCAGCCAGAATTTCATAAATTTCAGCAAAATCTGCCAAATCAACCGATTTTGATGTTACCAAAGAGGCTGAGAGTATCAAAATATTGAAATTATGGCTAAATAAATAATTTCCCAAACTTCGAATGGAATTTGAGATTTTGTAAAAGGTTTGAGGCACTTGTGGTCATAATCCATTTTATTAGTCCCTACAGTAAATGTCTACAATAGTACACTACCACACAACTTGATGTGTCTTTCTTTAAAGGCCTGTCTTTATATATAACGACACCGGGCAGCGGAGTGTGCATATCATTTACAGATCATTCCAACTTTTCGTTTCCAGTCGTATAAGCCACCGTTTTACCCACCGGAAATACACATTTCCGGCGAAGAAAAAGGATGGTGCCGATGGCGATGGGAATGGGAATGGAGGCGGTGTGGGGGACGCTGGGCTCGACGGTGGTGACCCTCATGCTGGTCTGGGCGACTTTCTCCCAGTACTGCCCCTATGAAGTCCGTACTTTCCTGAAGACCCACACCAAGAGATTCAGAAGGCTGTTCTACCCCTACATCCACATCTCCTTCCACGAATTATCCGGCGACGATTTCAGGGGAGGCACCTCCGGCAACATGTACAAGGCCATCGAGCGCTACCTCGCCGCCAATTCCTCCGACCAGGCTAAGCGTCTCAAGGCGGAGGACATCAAGGACTCCCAGGCTCTGGTTCTCAGCATGGACTATTTCGAGGAGGTCACCGACGAGTTTCAGGGGATCAAACTCTGGTGGGTCTCCGAGATGAACCTCCCCACCAGCCAAACCATCTCTTTCCGCGGCGGAGATGAGGTCAAAAAGTTCTTCACCCTCAAGTTCCACAAGAAGCACCGCCACATCGTCACCGGAGCTTACCTGAAACACGTGCTGGAGCAGGGGAAGGAGATCACGGTGAAGGACCGGCAGAGGAAGCTGTACACCAACATCAGGAACGACGGAACATATTTCAGCCCTTACCGGAGGATGTGGACCCAAGTCGCCTTCGAACATCCGGCGACCTTTGAGACCATCGGAATGGACCCCAAGAAGAAGCAAGAAATCATAGACGATCTTATCACCTTCAGCAAATCAAAACAGTATTATGCCAAAGTCGGGAAGGCGTGGAAGCGCGGGTATCTCCTCCACGGCCCTCCGGGCACCGGAAAGTCCTCTATGGTGGCGGCCATGGCTAATTTTCTGGAATACGATGTGTATGACCTGGAATTGACCGCCGTGAAGGACAACACGACCCTGAGAAAGCTCCTGATCGACACTTCCAGCAAGTCCATCATCGTCATCGAGGACATTGACTGCTCTCTGGAACTCACCGGCCAGAGGAGAGGTAAACCAGAGGAAACAGAGGTAGAAGACCCGCTGAAGATCGGGAAAGAGAAGAAACCTGAAGAGAAGAAGAGCGAAGTGACGCTCTCCGGTCTTCTGAACTTCATCGACGGCCTCTGGTCCGCCATTGGAGGAGAGAGGATCATCGTCTTCACCACCAATTTCAGGGAAAAGCTCGACCCGGCTTTGATCCGGAGAGGGAGAATGGACAAGCATATTGAGCTCTCCTATTGTGGATTCGAAGCCTTTAAAGTGCTCGCTAAAAACTACTTGGATGTTGAAACGCATGAGCTTTTCCCGACGATCGAACGGTTGCTGACGGAAACGGAAATTACGCCGGCGGATGTTGCGGAGAGCTTGATGCCGAAATCGGGCGAGGGGGACGAGACTACTTGTCTGGAAGCACTGGTTGAGGCTCTGGAGAAGGCTAAGGAAGACGCCAGAGTGGAAGCGGAGGAAGAAGAAAGGAAGAAGGTGGAGGAGGAGAAAGCGAAGGAAGATGCCAAATTGAAAGGAGAGGAAGAAGAGAAAATGAAGGCTGAGAAGGAGAAAGCTTAAGAACCTGCAAAATTGAAATATGATGATGGATTCGAGCGAATCAGGCCTTGGAAAATTGTAAGCCTTAATTAATTAATCACTAAGGAGATTCACAGTGTGTTCCTTTTTGAATTAACATATCCTATTTTGATTTATTAGTTATATCAAAATTCAAATATTTTAAGATCTTACTGACACGGATGAGGGTTATGTTAGCAAAAGATACTTTTATTTTGTTTGCACTTTGTTTTTTATTTTTTATGTTTTGGATTTGTACTTTGTCTTGCCTGTTGTGTTTTTCCAACAAAAGAACTTTAGAACTTAGGATAGGAGACAAGAAGTTTGAATTGCTATCATTGGTTCAGTTAAGCCCAAAGCGGATCAACGAATTATATTCCTTCTACGGAGATCATCAATTCGAAGTCTGGTTTTAGGGCGGACGGTAGACAGAAGACTTGATATCAATTTGTAACCCACCTTCATTCTGTTATGATAAGTTAAGTTAGTTTCGTTAAAAAAATCTTACTAACTTTCTAAACTTTGAATGCACTGAATGAGATTCTCTAATAGGTATAACCTATCGAACATCGTTGTGGGATAACTCCTTTCTTCTTCCTACGGCCATAGTCTAAAGTTTTCCTAGTTGAGTTATTTTTGGCGGAGATTTGATTCTTCTTGTTCGGTGTTTATTCTTGTTCTAAGGAGACCGCACATAAAGCTTTCGTTTACCTCTTTTTTTCTCATGATTGTTGTCAATCTTAAAGGAGGCGTGAGTGCGGCTAAATCTTTTGGAAACGAATCCAAGGTTCAAGATATGATAATCATGTCTTCTATGGAAGTTCTAAAGCAGCGTTGTCTCATTTCTGCAATTGAGGAGGAGATCGAAGGGTTAATTTTTGGCGAATCAACATGGGTAGAGGGTGAATGGTTGAGCAAGGGAGAAGACAGATCGACGCCCCCTGAACCGCCTCCTTGGAGCGATCGAGATGTTAGAATATGGAAAGATTTATCAGTTATTTAATTTTTTATTGTTTTATTTTCGCATTTTTATGTTGCTCCGTTTTTTGTTGATGTCTTTAGTTTTAGGTTTACAATTATGATTAACAATTTTGCTAGATATTATGTTGTTGGAAGAATCTATATGACCAGTAATTGTTGTGTCTAATCATAAGGTTGATAGTGCTAGTTGGTTAGGAATAGTTGTTGTCAGGACGATCTTTTTGTGTTTGTTTTAGCGATTCATTTTAATGATTTTAGTATAAAGCGCTTTGTTTTTTATGATTAAAAAAACTTTGAATGCGCTGTTTTTATTTCTTGCGTCCCAGTGATTATCTAATGTAGTTTCTTCGTCATTGAGTGTGAGAAGAGTATTTCACTTCTTGTGAAATTGACAAATTGTTGCTTAGAAAGTTCTTCTTGTGAAATTGTTGAGTACTCCGTATAAAGTAATAAAGTATGGACAAAATTTAATTAATCTTTCAATTATAATTATTAGAAAGCTTGAGTACCCCAACTATAATTAGTATCAAACCGTGGCGGAGCCAGAAAAACATATCAGGGGGATCGAAATTCAACTATGTACAAAATGAAAATAGTAAATCATTTTTAGGCAATGTTCGAGTTGAATGTTTCATTTGTAGTTTAGATAAATAGGTATTCGTAAGCAATAAGATAGATTTTTTTTGCTCTGTTTGTGAATCATGTCACGTAAGTAATGAGTTAATTATGCGTTATTTATATAATTTAAGAAAATATCATTATTATACATTAAATTTTGCTGATTTTACGTTTAGATAGTGCTGATTTTCCAGAAGTCATAACTTTTTACTCGTAATGAGTTACGAGGGCCATAATATATCAAATCGAATATATTTCAGAGCTCTATACTCTCAAACTTTCAGCGGGGTCGGCTGACCACCCTGACCCCCCCTTGGCTCCGCCCCTGGTATCAAAGCTTGTCAAAAAATTTAAAATATGACAATAAGCATATAGATCTTGTTTGTGAGTGACATAAGTAGAATTAAAAGTTGGGAAAATGGGCAAATAAGCCCTCGAACTAACCAAAAAAGGGATGTTCTTCTTCCCTCGTCTCTTTTTCTTTCTTTATTGTTTATTTCTATATATCTTTCTATACTTCTTTCCATGTATCAACGTGCCATCGTTGAACATATATAGAAAGGGACGAGACTGCCTCAGAGGGGGGGAGGGGGGGGGGGACGGTTTGGTATGAAGGTAAGGATGTCGGAGGTGATAGATATGCAGGAAAGCCATAATAGTTGTTTTCTATTATGTTTTGAACTTTCCTATTATATATACACATGTCAGGACTGTTGAAGGATGATTCTGAGATGTAATCTGACGATCTGTGTAGGCTGAAACTAGCAATGTGACTTTCTGCCCCTGCATGAAGAATCTGAGACTGATACAGAGGAAGTCTTCCATGAGGACCCTCCTACATTTACCAAAGGCAATGTTACTAGCAAGGAGAAGGGTAATATGAATAATATGAACCTTATTCTTCAAGGAGAAATACCTGGACCTATAGTTTCAACAAATAACAGCCAACCAAAGGATGACTTTTCCATACTTCCTGTGGAACACCATAAGGTTTTTGATCAGGAATTGGCAGATAAAGAATATGGTTCTGACACAGAACCATCACACAGATATGAAAGCAAACAGGAGTGGATGCAAGCATTACCTGGATTAGTTAATAAAGTCAATTTCCTGGTAGCAAATGAAGGGCTAGAGAGGATTCTGACTTACTTGATGCCTTAGCCCAGGGTGGTGGAAATGCTATGGAGGAAGTGGAGAATGAGGGAGTTTTCATTAAGGTTGGGAGAAGGAGAAAGAAGAAGCAACAATTTCAACAAACTCCAGGAATGGTTACTAGGAATGCTGCCAAGAGGCAAACTAAAACTATTCCTAACCCCCATCCATGAATGGATTAATTTGGAATGTGAGAGGTCTGGCTTCCTCCGGGCCAAGACTTTCTCAATTAATCAAAAAATGGAGGATTCAATTTCTAGTGGCTATAGAGCCTCTTGTTGATTCTGATAAGGCCAATTATTACAAAATGGAGTTCGGTTTTACTAATGTTCTCTTTAATAGTGTGAATAAAATTTGGATCTTTTGGGATTCAAATACTATTAATATTTCTGATACTACTTGGCATTCACAGTATGTCCACTTCAAATTTTCCTATGATTCAAGAGAGGGATGGATCACTGCTGTGTATGCCAAGCATACTCCTGTGGAAAGAAGAGATCTATGGGAGCAGTTAACCCACATTGCTGATCATATTCACAACCCCTGGATGGTGGGGGGTGATTTTAACACTATTATGACTAATGCAGAACATAAAGGAGATTCCATACTTGATCTGACAAGTATGCTGGACTTCAAGGATTGTATCTCTCATTGCAATCTTATTGACATTCCATATGCAGGCTGTCAGTATACTTGGACTGGGGTAAGATCAAGAGGAAGGTTATGGAGAAGGTTAGATAGATGTCTTTTCAATGAGTTGTTTCTTGACTCATTCGACCAAATCACGGTTACAAACCTTAATCAGACCCCCTCGGACCACTGCCCAATGCTTATCCAGTGTAAAAATAACTTCCAGTCAGGGCCCAGGCAATTTAAGTTCCAAAACATGTGGTTGTCTAGTAAATCCTTTTTATCTACTCTTGAAAAAAGTTGGAATGGAAGCTTTACTGGGGGTGGAATGCAAGGATTGGTTATTAAACTTCAGAGGCTTAAAAATGATTTGAGGAAGTGGAACAAGGAAGTTTTTGGTAATATCTTTGAGGATATTAATTTTATTGAACAAGAGGTTGCTAAAGCTGAGTTGGAATTCTTAAATGCCCCTACTGATGCAAATAGAGACGAATTGCAGTTTAAAAAAGCACTTTTACTGAGTAAGTAAAGACTGGAAAGGAAGTACTGGAAACAGAAAGCACATATAAAATGGCTTAAAGAAGGTGATTGTAGCTCTCACTATTTTCACTCTTTTGTGAAAATAAGAAGAAGAAGACAAATGATTACTGCTATTAAAGATTCAGATGGAAGAGACCTGTCAAGTTTACCTGAGATTGGAACTGCAGCTGTAGATTTCTTCTCTCAACTCTATGCTGTAGAACATGTTACAACACATAATGAATTTCTGATGGGTATTCCTGAAATACTGAATCAAGAAGACAATGAAATTCTTACTGCAATTCCTACTGAAGATGAAGTTAAGGATGTTATTTGGGAATTAAATCATAATGGTGCTCCTGGACCCGATGGTTTTACAGGTAAGTTCTTTAAAAAATGTTGGCATATTGTGGGGAGTGATGTTGTGAAAGCTGTCCAGAAATTTTTCATTGGGGTTCCCCCTCCTAAAGGATTTACTAGCTCTCTTATTGTTTTAGTTCCCAAAAGTGATATCCCTTCCTCCTTTTCTGATTTTAGACCCATTTGTCTCTCAAACTTTACTAATAAGATTTGTACTAAAGTGTTGGCTTCTAGATTAGTAAAGTTGCTCCCTAAAATAATTACCGAGGAACAAGCTGGGTTTGTTAAAGGCAGAGACATTTCAGATCAAATCCTTATGGCTCAGGAAATGGTTCTTGCAATTGATAAGAAAGTTAGAGGCTCAAATGTTATCATCAAACTGGATATGGCCAAAGCCTTTGACAAGCTTTCTTGGAATTATTTATTTGAGGTGCTAAGGAGGTTTGGTTTTTCTCACAAGTTCATTTCTCTGGTTAGGAATAATCTGCAATCTACCCATCTTTCTATCTTGGTAAATGGGAGCCCTCAGGGGTATTTTCAGCCTAAGAGAGGTGTTAAACAGGGTGACCCCCTATCCCCTTTTCTTTTTATTATTGCCTCTGAAGGTTTTTCTAGAGGATTAAAAGTCAGAATGGGGCAGGGGGCAATTAAACCCTTCTGGATGGGTAATCAAGGTTATCCTATTAGTCACCTTGGTTTTGCAGATGATTTATTGATCTTTATCAATGGGGACTCAAGATCCTTGGTCAATTTCAAGGATTTTGTAAATGAATATCAATCTGCCTCAGGATAGACTGTCAATTTAAGTAAAAGCAGTTTCATTACTGGAAAAAATGCTACTTACAGAAGTTCAACTATCCAAAGAATTCTTGGTATGCAGAAGTCCTGTCTACCAATGAAATATCTGGGTGCTTGTCTGCATAAAGGAGTGAACAGATTTCAATATTGTTCTCATATTATCAAACAATTTGATAACAAACTTTCATCCTGGAAGCAGAAAAACCTCTCACAAGGGGGCAGATTAGTATTAATAAAGCATGTGCTTAGTGCTATTCCTAATCATATATTAGCTACTGATGTTCTCCCCAAAAAGGTTATCTCCACTCTGGAAAAGAAAATGTCTTCTTTCTTTTGGGGTTCTACAAATGACAGAAAAAACTTTCATTGGGCAAAGTGGTCAAAGATTTGCTTTCCAACAGAGGAAGGGGGACTGGGGGTAAGAGCCTTAGCTGATGTTCAAAATGCCTTCTCCCTAAAGTTATGGTGGAAGTGGAAGACACAGGATTCACTATGGTGTAAGTTTATCAAGGCTAAATATCCTAGAGGGATGGACATGATGCCCAAAGTCACTGACTCATGTGTGTGGAGAAGACTATGCAGTATAAATGACACTGCTGCTGACCTATGCTCTTTCAATTCTTATGGGATTATGCAATGGGATCCTGGAATTAATGGCTTGTTCTCCATAGCCTCTTCATACAATGAAGTGAGGAACAATAGGTCAGTTACTTTTACTGATAAACACATTTGGAATAAATATCAGCATATGCAGATTAAGATTTTTCTTTGGAAGATGTTGAACCTATTTCTACCCCTAGCTGATAATCTTCAGAGATTCCACTTTACTCTAGAACCCTCTAGATGTCCTCTTTGTAGGAATAATTGTGAATCTACTGATCATATTTTCATGAGTTGCGATTATACTAAGAAAATTTGGCATCATTTTATGGATATTTTTAATATCAACATGGGCAGATGTTCTTCTATCAGACAAATGTTGATTCAGTGGTGGATTGAGGCAGGTTCTAAAACAATGGCAGACATTTTTAAGCACAATATACCTGGAATTATATGCTTGCACATTTGGAAGGTTTATGCTACATATACTTGGGGTTCGGGGTCTGTTCCATCTACAGAAAACACCATCTTCCAAATCAAGATGTATACTCAGAACTGGGCGTACAGGTTGGCCAAAATCAAAAGAAGAAGAGTGGAAGGTTTTCTTATTCGTGAACACCTAATTTCTGCCAAATTTACTTTTTCATCTCCAGGTTTGCAGATTATAAGATGGAAAAGGCCTAATAAAACTTATAAACTCAATGTGGACGCAGCTTTTATACCTGGAAATTCAACAGGTGGAGCCATCCTCCGAAATCGAGCAGGAGAAATGATATGGGCTGCCTCGTTCCCGATTACCGCGAGCTCTAGTGAAGAAGCTGAACTGAATGCCATGATGTTTGCTACGGAGAAGGCGTTGGATGAAGGTATCACTGATATTCAGGTGGAAACAGATGCTTCTTCTTTATTGAATATCCTCAGGAACGATTCAGGCAACTATGGTGGTGTTCAAAGGTTTAGAGATAAGGCTATTGGGAAAGGTTGTTCATTTGGGCATGTATTCAAAGAAGTAAATGGAACGGCCCATGTATTAGCGGGTCATCAAAATAATTTGGCCCAGATGGTTCTGTTTGATCGGGTCGGTCACCTGCCTAAGGAGGTTAAGAGGAATTACTATGCTGATTTGTTTAACTTTCCTTGTTTTCGTTTCTGATTCATGTATTTTGTTTTGGGTCAGATTTAGCCCCCCAAAATTATTTTATTATTTTTGTTGTTGTTTTTCATCTTTTATGAGGAAGGCTTCTTAGGGAGAGGTTTCGGTCTAGTCCCCCTCTCTCGATGTAACCGTCTCTAATTAATAAAAATCGGCAAATGTTGCCCGGCATTTGCCCCACCAATGGGTGGTTTTAGGGCTGGGCACGGGCCGGGTCGAGGCGGGTAATGCAAAATAAAATGGAACCGCCGGTTCCATTGTACGGTCCGGTCCGGTCCGGGTATTGCAAAATTCAAAATAGGAACCGGACCTTACCCGGCCCGTTTGAAACGGGTCGGTCCGGTCCGGGTTTTACGGTTTCTATTCTCATGTCTTAAAATTAGTAAAAACTCACAAAGTTCCAAAAATCAATAATTAATACGGAGTAATATAGTACATTAGCAAGTTTCAAAATAACAACATAGTGGTGCACATGTAACACAAGTGACAAGTCCAATACTCCATAATTTCATGTATATAAGTTCCAAACAATTAAAGTTCCAAAAATCGGCAACATAGCCAAAATACATATTTTCTAACATTTGAATTAAAAATGTTGTCTAACATCACATATTAAGGTGACACATACATGGGGGTGGTAATCACAATTTATATACTTTAAGAACAAATTTTCAGTATTAGCCAAAGTTGACACATACATGGGGGTGGTAATCACAATTTATATATTTTAAGAACAATATTATGAAAACAAATATTACAAAATCATTTTTAACAAATACGAGTAATTAAATTCCATAGAAAGGAATAATTCAATAACAATAAAAATAATAAGAAATTTATGTAAAATTTAATCAATAATTTGAAAGCAAAATGATGTTACTGCAACTCAATTTAAAATCCTACTTCTAGCAAAGGAAAACAAAACTATTTCAAAACCGATTATCACAAAACTATTAATAAATTAATATACAATATATATAACGGGCCGGGCCGGGTACCCGCTATTTTTTTATTTTGGAACCGGCCCGGGTCCTTAAAAAAAATTACCCGGACCTACCCGGACCGTTTTATGGCAACAAAAATGGAAACCGGCCCGTTTTGGACCCGAACCGCCATTACCCGGACCGGACCGCGGTTCCAAGACCCGTTTGCCCACCCCTAGGTGGTTTACCTTCCTGCCTAAAAAAAAATACACATGTCAGTACTCCTATTAGAGTACCTTTTACCAAAATCTCACAATTACTTGGAAATTGGATCATTACCTAGAAATAGCTAATTTGATCATTTTTTTAACACTTCGTGGACTTCATTGATTCACTAAAAAGTACGAGTATTCAATTGACTTTATAGTAAAAGTACAATACCTATTTGACAATATTTCTTATTTTTATTATTACACAATTCAACATATGAAATTAAAAGTAAATGATAAGCTATAAAACTTGGTTATGAAACGAGCTCAAGTATCAAAATATTAAAATTGTGATTAAACTCATAATTTCCCAAATTTCGAATGAAATTGGAGATTTAAGATGTGTTTACTTGAACAAAAATTTTCCGGTCAAATCTAATGATGGTCCTAAGTAAGGTAGATTCTATGGTACCCATAAGGTACCGTACCTTTGTCCACATGGACCAATCAGAATCATGCAGTTGAATTATTTAAATCTAAATTAAAAGGGATTTAATGATTTGGACCAATCAAATGCATAGTAGGTACGATACCCCATTTTTTAAAAGGTTTGAGGTACTTGGTCACCAAGCACCATCCTACTCCGCATTTGGTAAAAGGTTTGGAGATTTGTCGTAATGCCATTTTATTTGTCCCTACAGTACCATCCTACTTGGTCACCAAGTCTTGCTGTGTCTTTATATACAAGTGTAGTAAACAACACCACCAGAAAGCAGAGTCTACTGAGGAGTGGCATATCATTTACAGATCACTTCAACCCTTTCAGTTTCCTTCCATATCAGCCGCCGTTGTACCCACCGGAAACATAATTCTCCGGCGAAGAAAAAGGATGGTGCCGATGGCGATGGGAATGGGAATGGAGGCGGTGTGGGGGACGCTGGGCTCGACGGTGGTGACCCTCATGCTGGTCTGGGCGACTTTCTCCCAGTACTGCCCCTATGAAGTCCGTACTTTCCTGAAGACACGCACCAGGAAATTGAGAAGGTTGTTCTACCCCTACGTCCACATCTCCTTCCACGAGTTATCCGGCGACTATTTCAGGGGAGGCACCTCCGGCAACATGTACAAGGCCATCGAGCGCTACCTCGCCGCCAATTCCTCCCACCAGGCTAAGCGTCTCAAGGCGGAGGACTTCAGGGACTCCCAGGCTCTGGTTCTCAGCATGGACTACTTCCAGGAGGTCACCGACGAGTTTCAGGGGATCAAACTCTGGTGGGTCTCCGAGATGAAATTTCCCACCAGCCAAACCATCTCTTTCCGCGGCGGAGATGAAGTCAAAAAGTTCTTCACCCTCAAGTTCCACGAGAAGCACCGCCACATCGTCACCGGAGCTTACCTGAAACACGTGTTGGAGCAGGGGAAGGAGATCTCGGTGAAGGACCGGCAGAGGAAGCTGTACACCAACATCAGGAACGACGGAGGATATTATTACCGGCGAATGTGGACCCAAGTCGCCTTCGAACATCCGGCGACCTTTGAGACCATCGGAATGGACCCCAAGAAGAAGCAAGAAATCATAGACGATCTTATCACCTTCAGCAAATCAAAACAGTATTATGCCAAAGTCGGGAAGTCGTGGAAGCGCGGGTATCTCCTCTACGGCCCTCCGGGCACCGGAAAGTCCTCTATGGTGGCCGCCATGGCTAATTTCCTTGAATACGACGTGTATGACCTGGAATTGACCGCCGTGAAGGACAACACGACCCTGAGAAAGCTCCTGATCGATACTTCCAGTAAGTCCATCATCGTCATCGAGGATATCGACTGCTCTCTGGAACTCACCGGCCAGAGGAAAGGCAAACCAGAGGAAACAGAGGTAGAAGACCCGCTGAAGATCGGGAAAGAGAAGAAACCTGAAGAGAAGAAGAGCGAAGTGACCCTCTCTGGTCTTCTGAACTTCATCGACGGCCTCTGGTCCGCCATTGGAGGAGAGAGGATCATCGTCTTCACCACTAATTTCAGGGAAAAGCTCGACCCGGCTTTGATCCGGAGAGGGAGAATGGACAAGCACATCGAGCTCTCCTATTGCGGATTCGAAGCGTTTAAAGTGCTCGCTAAGAACTATTTGGATGTTGAAACGCATGAGCTTTTCCCGAAGATCGAACGGTTGTTGACGGAGACGGAGATTACGCCGGCGGATGTTGCAGAGAACTTGATGCCGAAATCCGGCGAGGGAGACGAGACTACTTGTCTGGAAGCACTGGTTGAGGCTCTGGGCAAAGCTAAGGAAGACGCCAGAGTGAAAGCAGAGGAGGACGAAAGAAAGAAGGCGGAGGAGAAAGCTAAAGTAGATGCCAAATTGAAAGGACAGGAAGAAGAAGACAAAATGAAGGCGGAGGAGAAAGCTGCGAAATTGAAAACCGTAAGCCTTAATTGATCAGCAAGGAGATTCAAAGTATGTTCCTGCGGAATTCACATATTATAATTATATTTCGATTTATTAGTTATCACTAAACATTTAATGCACTGTTTTTATCTTTCGTTCCCACTTCCCAGAGATTATCTGATTATGAAATGTTGTTTATTTGCAATCGAGTGTGAGCAGAGTAGAAAAAATGACTCGCATATTATTACTAGACTCCTGGATTCCAATGATATGACTGTTTTGACAATTCCCACAAATATGATCCTCTCTGCTTCTTTCTTCGCACCGCACACACATCATATGGAGACAACCCCTAAGCGGCCACCTTGCTTCTATTCTCCGTTAGCTTCCACCGTGCCGCCTCCGTTGTCTGCCTCCACGTCGCCTTGCCTCCGCCGGCTGACAGGGTCGCGATTGTGGCAATTTCAGACGGAGATTCAGCGGCAATGGCGAGCCAATGATCTTCTCTTCATCACGGATCTGTTCTGCATCGGTGCATCTCGGATCTGACGGCGACGGTCATCGATCATCTCTGCATCTCGGATCTGTTCTGCATCGGTGCATCTCGGATCTGACGGTGACGGCCATCGATCATCTCTGCGACTCGGATCTATTCTGCATATGTTCTCCCACCTACTTTTTGCATCAGATCTGCTCGTCTCTTTCGATTGGTGCTGCCTTATCTTCTGGATCTACGGCTATTCCTCACTCCGGATCCTCGTATGGGAATGAACGGGGGCTATGGACTGGGTTGGTGGGCAAAGGGAGGTGGCGGCCACTGCCGTGGAGGTTGTTGGAGCTTCTGGGGATCTGGCAAGGCAGGGATGTTGTTGTTTGGGCTGCTGCCAGTCACTGGGCGGGACTGGGGTCACGTGGTGGCAGCACTGGGTGGTGGTGGGCAGCGACGGCAGTGGTGGCATGATGGTGGAATGCGGCAGCAGCGTGGTGGTGTGGTAACTGACCGGAAGGCGATGGCCGGTATAATATATTGGATATAATTTTGATCCTCGATATCGAGGTGTTTTGGGTGTGGCGGAGTCACCATGGCCGGAGTCACTATGCGGCGGAGTCACTGTGCGGTGGAGTCACTATGCGGCGGAGTCACTGTGACCAGAGTCACTGTGGTGGCGGGGCCGTCACTGTGACAGTGGGGCAGTCACTGCGGCGGCGGGGCAGTCACTGTGACCAGCGGGGCAGTCACTGGGGCGGCGGGGCAGTCACTGTGACCGACGGGGCAATCACTATGGCCGTTGGACAATCACTTGGCCAGAGTCACTTTGGCCGGAGTCACTTTGGATTGCAGGGGCTAATTTGTTGTTGGTCACATTTTTGGATTTTTTAAAAACGTTTCACTTTTTTGTCTTTTATCTTATTTTTAGTAATATCCAGGCCAAAAGGCCAGCAGAGTATTCACTTCTTATGAAATTGTTGAGTACTTGTATAAAATATGGATCAAATTTAAAAGGCATTTTCTTTATAAAAATTGACTTATTTTTTTATAAAAAAAAGTAAAATTATAAAAATATTACAAAAGATAAGGGATTGAGTATTAGTGTATTACTTGAGAAAGAAGAAAATGAACTTCCAATTTGAGGAACCATACAATCTTTCTCAAATGTTTTACTTTTATTTGACGAATTATTTAAATTGAGTTTCTTGATCTTATTTTTATTAAATTAAGTTTTGTTTCTATCTACACCTTATTTTATTTTAGTACTCAACACTATTTTTTTTAGTTCGGCTATTAATTATTGAATTATATAATACTTCAGATTAATAAATTTTATGGTTGAATTGTGTGACGGACTATTTTAACTTTTTCATTTTTTATTTTATTATTAAAATATATTTACATTATGATCTTTTTATGATCACAATGTCATCAAATTCAATCGTTTGATTATTTCATTCATTTTTTATGACCCTGATTATGAAAGGTGTAGCGAGCTTAGGGAGTGTTTGGGTTAGCTTAAAAAAAACACTTTTCAGCTTTTGACTTAAAAAAAGTTGAAAAGAATGTTTTCAAATGACAGCTTCTGCTTAAATTAATCACTTAAAAGCTAAAAGCTGGAAGCAGGTAGAAGGGTGCTTTAAACTGCTTCTCACTTTTTCTATTACACAAAAAGTACTTATTTTACCAAACACTACCAACTTTTACTTTTCCAGAATCACTTTTTTCTCAAACACTACCAACTTTTACTATTAATCACTTTTTCCAAAACCACTTTATAAAATCACTTTTTTAAAGTTGAAGCAATTGCAAACACTCCCTTAGCCTTATCTTCTTTCAACTGTGAGAAGGTCATTAATAATGTGAGTCCATCATGATATTTGATTTATGGTAAATTCAGTAATGAGTGAAAACAATGGATTCATATGAGGTGTCTTATTATGACTCTCACATCACCTTATTTTGTGATAACAGTGATGATTTTACAATTTGTATTCACTTGGAGCAAGATTCTAAATAATTATACCCTACCGACTACCGAGTAGCACATAAAATATCTACTCTGATCACAAAATCCAATAAAAAAAATGAGAATAAAACATCCAAAGTAACCTAAAATGTTTGAGAAGTACTTCAAAGTACAACTATTCTAGGTGCTTTTATACGTAGTATTTTTCGAAATGTTGAATGTTGTTTCGTTTGAAGCACAATCAAATACTTTGTCTTTCTAAGGAAATTTGTTGCATTTCAAAATTTAGAATAGCTTGTGTGCCTCATCATGTTTCTTGGAGTACCTTTTTATCAAGGTACAATGTAGTGTTTACATCACGATAGGGGTTTGACAAATTCAATGTAATGAGGATTAAAAAAATATGGTGTGAATTTTTGACCTCTTTGTTTTTGTTTTATGTCAAAATTTTACTAATTGGATGAAATTATCTCAAATCTTTGTGATACCAACGTTTAAAGCCATTGGCTAAGGTCTAATAATTTTGAAATTATGAGTGCGATGGCTGGATGAAGATAGTTGCTACTTGCTAGTCGTGATTGGTGGATTGGTCTATTCTTTTAAGTGCTCGGGTTTGGTTCAAGAAATATCATATTATCATAAGAATGTTATATTATTGGATGTGTTAGATTGATGAGAATGTATTCAATTTTTCTCATTCGTGTTTGTTTGATATTAATGGAGTGTGACATTAATTTATTTGGTTGAAAGATATCTTACACGTAATGTTATAGATTTGGTGAATTACTTCAATGCTCTTTAAATATTTTCTCTTACCACAATAAACCTATTACAACCCACATCTAAATTAATTGAAATTAAAGACAAAAAATGAATTATTTCTTATTTTACTAATAAATAAAATCAAAACTAATTGAATTATTTTTAAGTAAAGTGAGTTTAATTTTAAAAAGTGTAGATCCAATACAAAATGATAAACAAACTTTGTTCAAATAGTAATTGTTGGGATATAGTATCCCGACTTACTATCTGCCCAAGACATGACCCCGGTACAGAGCCTAAGTGGCAAGGGCCATTTGGACATATCGAGCCTATTTCGGCCTTTGGGCCCCTTTCGGCCCACTTGGCCCATTAGGGTAGACTTATCTCCCCTACCCCTTTTTCCCTATAAATATAAGACTTTCCCTCCATATTATAAGTTGGTCTCTTCTTCCCCACTTCCTCATCCTTCTCTCTAGAATAGATTAGCTAGCAACCTCCATTAATGGGAGCTTCAATATCTTGTACTTTGTAATGATGAGGAGAGTATTAATGAGAATGAGAGGCTCGGACATTAGCCTAAAAAGTCTCGTGGTTTTCTCCTTTCGGGTTTCCACGTAACAATCGAGTGTTCATACAGATTTATACCTATATTTACTATATTGTGTTGGATTAACTTCAACACTGGCGCCGTCTGTGGATTAACCTATATTTATACCCATATTTACTAAATATATCTTTTATCATTCCGAAAAAAATTCAATTTAAAAAATTTCAAGTTATTCGTAAAACTTGTTTCAAATTAAAGAAAACATTATCGATTTTCCATTAATTTGAAACCCATTCATAAAAAACATAAATAATCTATAAGTCTTATCACACAAATATTTAAAAAAAATAAATTTTAAGGAAAAAAGAATAATGCTAATTACAAGAATAGACATGTGAATATAATTAAATAAACATGTTCCATCTGTCCCACTTAAAATATTGTCACACAATTTACTATATTTGACTGAATATAAAATTAAATGATTTCTGTCAATAATAAGATTATTTTTAGTAAATAAAATTTACATATTCAGAAACTAGTCTTGTAAAGTCGCAAAATTTCAGATTTGATAAATGTTGGATATATAAAGTAAAAGATTAAGAATATTTACGTTGAGAGGAGAATAGTGGGCGTGAACTTTAAGTGGGACGAATGTAGTACCAAAGTCTATTTTCATAAGATGAAGACAAAATATGGTGAAATTGTTTTAGCCCCAATTAAGAATGGAAAAGTCGAAAAGAAGTTAAATGAAAATAGATAATTAAATGAGGGTGTTTTCAGAAGAGACTTAGGAAATCCTTGGGAATGTTAGATAACCTAAGGTATGGATGGGTTTAACATTCCCCTCCATATTATATCCCCGGGAATATAACTTTCTCGATTTTTTCTCAACCTCGAGAATCAAACATGGGCATCTAACATTTCGTGCATCATATTCTTGCCTTCATGTGAGATTACCCCGAACAAGATCTAAAGGGAATCAATATAGTACACATGCATACGCATGGAAAAGAACCATTTGTACACATATTTGTATTCATGATCTCATTAAAAATAAAAATAAAAAATATATATATAATTACATTGGACTAAAAAAGAGATATGCACTAATTAAGGCTGGTTTGCAACCACTTTAAAAAAAGCACTTCTCAGCTTTTGGCTTAAAAAAGCACTTATTTACCAAACACTACCAATTTTTTATTTTTCTCGGCTTTCGTGTCAAAAGTGCTTTTCCACTTTTTATACACCAAAAGCACTTATTTTATCAAACACTACCAACTTTTACTTTTCAAAATCACTTTTTTCTCAAACACTATCAACTTTTACAAATAATCACTTTTTCCAAATCACTCCAAAAGTGCTTTTTTTAAAGCAGAAGCTGTTGCAAACACTCCCTTAGTAGTGCATAAATGTATATTTTTATGTTTGTCTTGTGTGGATTGTTTACCTTTATCTTTTAGTTTGTAAACATTTGTGTGATTTTGTTTGTAATTGTTTTTAACTCTCATTTGTAAGTTGTAGA